TAAATAATTAATTACAGAAATAAGCTTACATACTTTTGAAGTAGCCATTTGGAAAAAAATAATAGTATATTATATATACTATTGTGTGTGTGTGTGTGTTAGTGAGTGAGTGAGTGTATACATATATATATATATATATATATATATATACATACATACATACGTATAACACTGATGAGATAAATTATTAAATGTTAAGATAAGTAGTATAAGTCAACCTTTGTCAGACATTCTCTTTTATTACGATAAACATTTCAACGAGTTTTCAAGAGCTATAAAACGAAAAGAAACTTTAAAAGCTTTCCAAGACTCAAAAAGATTCTTGAATAATTTAAGAGTGAAATGTATTTACAACGGAAAAGTAACCATAAAGTTATTTAAAACAATCGGATATTCATCTTCTTTAAGTCAACAAAATAATGGAAATAATTATTCTCCTTGCTGAGTTATTGTAGAAAGAAAATATTTAAAAACCAGAGAATACAACAGAATCCAATACAAACTCAACTTCAAAAAACAATAGCACGGCAAAAATCAAGTTAACAATAAGCTTTTTTTGTCTCGCTATCTGTTTTCTCTACACAATCTTTCCACTCGTCGAATCAGATTTAACAAAGCCCCTACTATATGTCAGCAAAAAAAAGAAAAAACTCTTATTTTTTACATTCTAGAGGGGTCAAGAAAAAAAAAACTTTTTGTGGAAGGGAGTCAACGGGAGTCAACGCTTCGTTGACCATTGAAGAAGAGAAAACGGAGTTGGATGATGGGATTCGAAGTTCCTGATGTTTCTTTTGCTTGAGAAAGAGGGGGCCGAGAAAGTGTGAAGGGTATTTATTGAAGCTGCTAGATTTCACGGAAGCTTGGCTGACAAGTATTTTGCGCGGAAAGCTTTTCGGCTTTTTTTTAAATAGAATGGAAGCTATACTTGTCAGAGATTCAAGCTCAAATGCTTCGAGAAATTTTCTGAATGTTTGCCGATTCTGAAGCAAATTAAATATTCGAACAGTTTTCCAAAAGTTTTTGGTATAAAGGTTCGTTACATTGTATATATTTTGAGACAGATAAATAGCTAGTTAAACGAATTAGTTTTTCCTTTAATTACTTCATGACATTTTGATACTGCACTAAGCATAAATTTGGTAAGACAAACATCCTTGTAAAGTTAAATTATATTGTAGAGAAGTTCTCGTTGAAACTCTTCTACGCTAATGAAAAAAAGTCATCAATTACCTACGTAAAATTGTCTTACAAAAATAAAGTCATTTGCGGATTAATTAACGTCACTAACATACATTAACGAACACACTTATTTTTTAATGAGTTTCTCTATTTCCTTGTTTCCGAGAGATATGTGGATGTATACGCTCTAAGGGACAATTTTACCTGCAGACAATAAGGCGAAAGCTTGTTTTCTCATCGAGCGTTGCGTTTTCTACGAAAAGTAGGTCGTGGTTAACGTTTGGAATAGCACGGCTTTAATCCTCATTGTTCGGCGCGTGCATTTACAGAAAATATTCAGTCTACTCTCACATCCACGCACTATTTATTGAGCTCTCTTTCTCTCTCTCTCCCTCACTCTCTGGCTATTGCCTATTTTCAACTTCGCTGAATAGATTTTTTGTAGAAAGGAAAAGGTCTCTTTTGAACAGACTTTTCATTTGAAAGATTTAAATCCTCGCAATATAAACTACAAACTTTGTTTTCTGATTTCGTAATGGATTCGGTACAAAAATTGACATATTATTAAGAAATATTATCCAATTGGAACGTGATAGTACCAATAAGACGCTGGCACAATTCATCATGAACGATTCATTCTTGAAAACATTTTTATTTTACGCTTTATAGATATTTCTGCAAAAATGTCTCAAAATTGTTTTGAATATATCATATATGTATATGTATACATATATTCATTATATGAAATAAAAATATTTATATATTATGTTCAAATAATAATTTTTAGATTTTATAAATTAAAATTTAACATCTTAGCCTTTTAATTTATCTTTCCTTATTTTTAACTATTCTACACTTTTAAGTAATTTTCAATAATCAAATTAAATATAAGTCGGTTTATCTTCTTAAGTTGTAAAAAAATACGAATGTTTTGATGGGTTTACCACAGGTCCATTTAGGCTATTAACAATGTTTTTATTTAGGCTTAGTAAATGCCATAGTTTTTTAGCAGGTAAAAAATTAGTTTCGACTAACCAGCTGCTCAGACATTAATTTTATTTGCCTAATAAATGAATATTATTCTGAAAGCTTAAATTTTCATATTTACCAGAAAAAATAACTCCATTAAATCATGTTTTTAATTTATAAAAACGTTATAAATGACTTATAAAATGCACATGAATGTACGAACTGAAAATTGATAGTCACAATCTTGATCGCAGATATGAGTTGCATAAGAATCGATCAAGCAAAATCGAGTAAAAAATTATTTTCCAATCTCCTCATCAGTTGATGCTTGAAGCTACTGTTCGCAATTTCCCGCTCGTTTTTCCTTGTCTGTAGGCTATCTGGCATTGTCTCGCGCTCTGCTAAGCTCCCTAATCGAAATTCATTTCCAGAGCAGGCGCTCGGCGAGAAAGTACATTATTCACTGATCGGGTTACCAAGCTCTAAGGTTTCGAGAAACATCGCATGTGGCTCCCTATAACTGCAGTGATTTCCCCCCTTTGCCTCTTCTCTCGCCCTCTGAAAATGCAATTATTTCGTGCTCTCTCGCGCACCCAGTTACCGAAACATTTAGCTGCACAATCAAATCGGCCTCCTCGAATAAACGAAGTGCCTCCGAGAGAAAAGAGGTGGCCGAGAGGTCTGAAGTATCCTTTAATTTCTCTTCCAATTCGCTCCCTCTTGGAATCGAGAGCACAATTCGAACACTGTGCTGGCTTTATTATTCAACATTATTTTTCCTGCGAAGTATTGACTACTTATCATATTCTTTAATCCATTCTGGTAGTTATTGATCAAACGGGATCAGTTGTAACGTTAAGAAAAATATTATTCATTACTATGTGTTATAGCCATTATAGTGAGGTACAATTTAGTTATAACTTTTACTTTTCTTCTTTTCATGTCAAATATCAAAGTATACCAAATATTCAGTTATTCATTTGATAGCATTCATTGAGCAAACATTGTATTTACAAGAATACATATAGTGAAAAAACATATAAAGATGTTTTATTAAATATTCGAGTTCTAATCACTAGTGAAACAGTGTTGAAAAAATTGGTATCCGTACACTAAAAAACCCACCGTATAAATGCACTACTACAAACATTATCTATAAAAAAATTTCCACGTTGCTTTGGCAATGATCGTAAAATTATTTGCACCCCATGGTGTGAAAAAAATCAGACTCAAGTTTGATTTGCCAAACTTGATTAAGAATTAATTATTTAAGAAAATTGTTTACCTATTTGCAATAATTTGTTTAAAAAGCAAAAGCTCAAACGGCATCAAAACTAATGTCCACTCAATCAACAAGCCACCCTTAAGCTCGACTAACGACGCGAGCAGAGACGCGTGAAAAAACAGTTTTTAATTACAAATGAAACTCCCTTCTGTGCAGACTGGTTCTCTCGTTGTTGCCTGCCGTATGCGCGCGAGTGCATTAATAAATCCCCCGTCAATCAGCGGCTGTTTTCGAACTATGACAAATTAGCCCGCTGGCGACTGTTTTTTTCACGTCCCCTCGTTGCCATCGCACCGAACAAGAGGGCCAATTAAAGGGAAACGTTCTTCCGGCTCTTCTCTGCTGCGGTGGAATAAAAAAATGAGAAAGCAAAGAAAAGAGAAAAAGCCGAAGGGTGGCAATGGCTAATTGGGTAGGGACTTTTCTTAAGGTCGAACAACGCCGATGAGATCCTTAGCGAGTGGGTGTGCGAGCAAAATACGGTCTCCGCACAGGGAATTAAGATCGTCATAAAGATATGGACATGTGAGTCATTGACCTGATTTGGTGGTGAAGTAAGAGAGAGTATCGTGCCCTTGGCGCCTCTGTCGTCGAGCTGTAGATGCAATCGCAAACGCTACTCCATATCGATTGCTAAAATAGCTATTCCTAAGATTGACTGTTTGCTGACTGCTACTACTACTTGCTGAGCTTCCATTGAAATATTCTCTGTGTTTCTTTACGACATCTAATCGACACTATATAGATAAATATCAACTGTCGACCACGCACGAGAACAACTCTTATTTTCTAACACATTATTTTAAAGTAACAGTACATTAGTTAAGATAAATGTTAAATTAAAACAATTAGTAGCCCATTAATTTAATAATAGAGAGCATCAAGCTCTTTTTTAAAATTTTCACAGACGATTTCAAGAAAATCCATTAACATGTGATAGATAAACAAATAAACCACCTAATATGTTTTATTAGTTTTACGTTATTTATGTCGCAACTATAAATAACAAGGCCATCAATGGTACTGAACTTTCTAATTCACTAAGATTACAAAGATACAAAATTGTATATTGAACTGCTTGAACAGAATTAATCAGAAAAAGTTTATCATATACATACACACGGAAGTTTCTTTATCTGTAATTTTCGTATCCGCGTCATTTTTCCTTATCAAAAAAACCAATAAACTGTTTTTATTTATTAGGTGATTTAATGGTCAGATACTCATCAGTTTGTATATAACACCCGAATCATTTTCCTGATTAAAGATTGAAAATATGCTCGGCCCTTTCAACCAAGAAACATTATGTAAAATGTAACTGACAGCACAAAATGTACTTTTAAAATTGAATTGCCCAAGGCATTTCATGTAACTCGGTCATACATTTTCGTTTTCAACGATAGGAAAGATCTATTATCAATAGTACGTTAGAAAAGAAAATTATTTATTTACTAAAGCAGCGATCCCGCAGTGTTATTTGTAAAAACGAACCGACAACACGAAACAGAAAGAGAAGAAAGAAAAATAATAAAAATAAAAATCGATTATTCTTTTCTTGTGCTTTCAGCCGACGGTCTTATGATCGCCTGAAGTCACGGCTCGATGGGCAGCATGAGAGCGGATCGTATGCCGCTTGCACTGCTGCTGCTGCTGCTGCTGTTTGCAGCCACGGCGACTGCCCTCGACATACGTGAGTACACATAATGAGCATATCACGATTACATTTATCGATAACACGCGAGACCCTTTCTCTGTTGCTCTTTTTTCGTCCCTCCTTTCTCTTCCTGTGTCGCTCGATCATGCTTTTAATTTTATGCGAGGCGTGGATGTTTCAAAGACGATAAGACCTAATGTGATGAATTAAGGGATACTCGGGGTGAATTTTTCATGAGCCTCACAATGCGATATCTGCTCTACTGTATTGAATAAGAATATTAAGAGCTTTCTATTTGGCTTTAACTGGCACGCAAGCTTAGTCAGAATATTGCCCAGTCAATGACAATCACTTGGCTGAGTATGATGAATTGCTATTTACGCTACGACGTAAATATACGTAATTTCAATTACGTAGTGTGTAATAAGCATAATAGCATATTATGCTTATTTTTGTGTAAGATAAACACGGATAAAACAACAAATTTGATAAGCAGTGCGGTAATATTTTAATACACTTACAAAATAAACCTAATCAATACTCGGTAAAAACAACGTTATTTCTACGGTCGTAATCTGAAACTTTCGTCTCACTTACACAACTCATTTCTCGATTGTTCACGCGAGCTTTCACTTGTAAATCATCTAGCCACCGAAAGGTATATTGGGTAGAGCGTGCGTTTGACAGTATCGAAAAAGCATGTGTTCTCGATCTGCTCTGCGAGATCAAAGAAAGAAATATTTAAAAGGGCTTTCAGCTTACGTGCGCGTGTGCAACGATGAGACGATCGATTAACCTTTAGCTCTATGAAAACGAAGCTCGCTACATGAACATGTCGCGGAGTCAGGTTTCACTCGTATTAATCAGATGTGTGTATTGAAAATTAATGGTGAAGTGGCAAAATTATGAACAAAGCTTCTATTCTTATTGATCCGAGCAGTAAATTAAAAATCCGAAAGATTGCGAACAAAGTAGATTTCGCGATTAAATTCATTCCTGGTTCTGGCATGAATCAATATTATAAATATTTGATTTCTAATCAGCAAAGTGTAACCGAAGAAGCATTTATTTAATAAAGCAGCATGATAGTAACTTGATCAATGGCGAGCAACTAATCGATCGTTGGTTAATTTTAACGAATCGGCTGAATTCCACTCGAACCAATAAAGTTATAGTAATTGATTGTCATGCTTTGCTTTTGTTTGTAGAATATGATAGAATTATTTGCACAAATTCAGCGATACAATGAACCAATATCTAGTGTGGCAAAGTCTATTTCAATAAAAAAAAAGTCTCACATTTACAAAGACCATAATGACGAAGCGACAAAAAGAAGTATGTACGTATCAATAAAACACCTATGTCATGCGGCGCGAGAGATAGCCAGAATTATACCCACCTTTATCCGTACGCCCATCACACGCTTACACGTGTACACGAATCGACCCTTCCTCAATCTTAAAGCACGTCGTTTCGTTAGTTTTGACGCTCGTGCGCAAAGCATCAGAGACTTTCCTTCTCTCACTCTTGGCATCTTCCATTTGGACTTGGTTGCTTTATATAGACTGCGGCTATCCCAAGGGTGGCACATACTTTGCTCCTTGCCTTTCATTTCCGCTTAATCCTTCACGCAGGATTTTCCTGAGGCTTTTGGTTTACTTTCAAAGGCGCTTACACCTCGCTCTTCACTCTCAATGATGAATTATTTGCCAGGATACTTTCCGTTTGTACGGACTTGTCGACATTTTTAACAACAACCTTCGTTGTCGTCGGGAGATATCGACAACAACAGCACTCTTTTTTATTATCAATATTTCAATTAAATATATAAATTTTTGAGACTTGATGCTTATTAATTAAAAAAGTGATGTAAATTAACCGGGCCTGTCGAGACAAGCTGCTTGAATGCACGATGCTTAATAGGTTGTTTATTAAGCTCCTGAGTAATTATCCAGGCACTGAACCGAGGATAACCAAAGCGTCAAGCTCAAGCTATTTCATACAAAACTTTGCTGAAACTCAATTTATTAGTTTTTCGGTTACTCTTTATATTCATTTTTTTTTGTATTTTTTAAAAATTTAATCAATTTTTGTATTATAGAAAATGTTCTGTATGAGCCTTTAAAATGTTATAAGTATATGGATTGAATGGTTCAAAATGAAATTGACTGCTCTATTCCTAAGGAGGAAATCCTGCCTTTGGGATTGAATTTTCGGAAAATATACTTATGAAGATACTTTTTCTCGTCATATCCTTCTTTGATAGTGTGTATATGTGCATCGACCGTCCGTCGACGATGAAACCCTTCCTACAGAAATTTTTTTCTCTTTCCCGTAGCAGAATATTGGTTGAGCGCGCGGGCGACTTCAAAGCCTATATTTTTTTCTTTTCTATTTGACTCCTTTTACACAGCGCAGAGGTAATGACTTCTTGTGTATATCCTTTCTCGCTCGAGGGGATCAATTATTCCGAATCTAATTTGACAGAATAAATCGCGTTTTACTTGAAGACTTGAGCTGACAGTTCTATAGTAGAAATACGAAGAAAAGAAGAGAGATTACGTTGACGGGTGGAATCTGTGTGAGAAAGAAATAATATAGACATGAAATGCGAACAAAAGTTTAGCTAAATCTGTTATAATTGAATGAGCTTAGTATAAAGGGATATATTATTTAGTTTTTTTCATTATTATTAGAAGCGTACTTTAAATGAAAACAATGCAAATACCAGAAAAAGAATACAACCAGAAGAAAGTAATACTGTAGAAAGACAAGAGAAAGGAACTTCATTTTCTCTGGATATTTAATCTTCTGGGTTCTACAAAAGCTTGTAGACGTTTCTTGTACTTGTTAAATTGAAATTCACAGAACGAAACTTATATTTTACAAGGCTTTCTTTTGATTTCAAGTAACTATTTCTTGAAAAACTTGTGAGTATCCTAAAGTATAATAAAAATTTGAAAATGTCTTACAGTAAAAGTTCATTAAGTATCAGATTCATAAATCAGAATCTTATTAATTTTTATCACGACAATTTTCTTACTTACAAAATTATTATCATATTTTGTTTATATTTTTAAAATAAACAATTATATTGATATAAGTGATATTACTGATATTTTTCGTTGTATAAAATCTTATTTGTTGTTTCAACTTTCTTCAGTTATAATTTCGTGTTTCGCAAAATTAAAAACCATTTCGCGAATTTGTCTTCTTAAATTACTCTAAAAAAATACAACAAGAAAACACTGTCAACGAGCAAGAAGAAATTTACTTCAATAACCATCCAAAAATACAATTACATTTCAGCTTTAAATCTTATAATTAGAAGCAGTTAGATTAGTCAATTAAAGGCACGGTATGTCTTGGAAGTAGTGATTAATTGTCCTGACGACGTCAAAGCCAGATCAAGAGTTCTCTGATAAATAATAAATTAGTTTTATTTTTAATTAAACTCGTAATCCCGCCAATTAAAGCATAGGCTTTTGCATGGAAAATATACGTACATGGTAAAAATCAATAAATTTCTTCTCTCTCCTTTCCCCTCCGCGTACAACTGCAATCTCGTGGCTTTCTCGAATGCGGTTCTTGGCATTTGCTGCTTCCCTCTCAGTAGCGATAAAAGTTGCTAATGTCCACCGATCTCTTTCACGGAATACCCTCGTGAAAGGAACGTTAGTGATAAGAAAGAGGACGACGAGTACTTGCATGCATGCTTGTCGCCAGACAAAAAAAGATGAAAGAAAACGACGAGGCGATGAAATGTTAAGAGATGAAAGGCGCGAAAAGTGTCTTTTCTTCGGCATTTGGAGTGCGTCATTAAGAACTGTTTGAATAAGGTGTAAAAGTAACTGAAAAATGGATATTCGATGGGCTTTTATTCATTTTATTCATAATTCAACAAAGATACCATAAAATGCATATAGAAAACATTTTCATTCGCAAAGAAGGATATTGATTCTATTAAAGGACTCGACAAAAATTATAAATCAAATAACGATATCATTGAAATTGTGAAAATTTGAATGTCGCTCAAAAACAGACATTTGAATAAGTTTTAACCTGCTATTTACATCTGGCTCGTAGAACGATTTTAAAAATAAAAAAGGGTAACGCGTTCGAAGTTTGAAGGACACTTCTCGTCGCTTTCATAATTATAATTTCAACACCTGCCAACGTCAAAACCCCTCGGAATAACTCGCCCAACTAATTTTCGAAAAGTTCACAGGGTACACTCGAAACAGCCGGACAGTGCTCTCTCGCTCGGTACAAGTACCAAAGCGAAACGGCCCGGGAAAATGGACGCAGTGGCTAAGTGTGTAAGAGCAGAAAAAAAGCGAAGCGAGAGAAAAGATCGGAAAAAGCGAAAACAAAGTCTGGGTGACGAGTTCTTGGCTCGTAGCATTGTTCGGAGGCTACTCTCTTTTTCCTCCCGCTGCTGGACGACGCTTCCACGCTTGCCTCGTTATGGTAAATGTCTCGGTCCTCAAGGCCGGTAAATAGTCCAAGCACAAAGGCACTCCTCCCCCCCCCCCCCTCGAAAACACTAGCTTCAAGGTGGAGACTCTGCTGAGTATGTGCGCACGTCCGCGCGCGCGTGTGTCTTGGAAAGATGGACCGCCCTATGTAAATAAGCTTTCACAAAAACTCTTGCCAATAACAAACTGCATTTGTTTCTACAAGTGCCAATAGTGATAGAGAACATAAAAATTGAAATGCAAACCATTCTGCAAATTCATTTTATAATTCTACTATATGCACATGCGTAGTTGAAATGAAAGTATAATTAAATAGGTCGCTTCACATTTTGTCCAATCGCAAAATCCTCGTGTTAATCCCGAACAGCATTCCACGCTTTGCACAAAACTACAAAACTTTGTGATAAAAAAAATAAAAATCAAAAATACGTTTGAGAGTAATACTAATTCTTAGTAAATCTAGATAAAAAATATCAATGTTTGATTTGCCGGAGTATAAATAAAGAGGATTAAAAGTCCTTTGTTTAGTGAATCATAGAATTCCGAATGAATAATTAC